TCTGCTTAATGCATGAATATGTTGGTGGTGCTTTGCCACTCACCTGTTTTCCTAATATTAAAGTTTCTCATACATTTAATTATATCCTTTTTACATGATTCATACACTTCGAACTTTGGCAAAAACAACAAATCTAGGCAGCAATGAGAACAGTTCATTCTAGGAAAAATATGCAACCGAGTGTTTGATAAACTTAGGCTTGCAACAAGACCATCAAAAAGGATTTTTCAATTCTCCTTCCCTTTATTCTTCTGCTTTATGAGACTTTGTGAACCAAGAACTCACATGGACAAGGCAGAGCTGGGTGTGAGCCCCTCTTTTGGGGTGATTGCCAACGGGGATAAATGAGACAAAAGGAAACTAGAACACTGTTCTGTCTACATTTTCTTAGCCACCACTCCTCATACTCATCATCACTGCAGCCAGTCCTGGGACTGCCACAGGACAGTTACCTTTCAAGTGGACTGTAGCAGCCATTTCCTCTTTAAAAATATTTAATAAATTTACTTAAGACAAACAAGTGATTCCACTGGGCCAATTTTGTATTCCCAAACATGGAAACCTATAATTGGAAATGGATTAAAGTCCAGAAATTCTCTGTATTATCTCTTAAAATAATAGTGAGTTGGAATGACTGGCTTCCTATTTTCTTTAAAAAGAAAACCATGGGCTTTCCCTTTAAAAATAAAAACATCCAAATTTTAGTAATTGGTTTTAAATCTGTTTTTATTTTATTTTTTTACTAACCTTACCAGGTGTTTGAGTTGATATATACTTTTAGGCAAAAAAATGTAATAGGTTGAATGTGTAAGAATAGCCCAAGTATTAAAGATCTCTGAAAACTTTTAGAAAACTATCATCACTCTTCCAAAGCATTTATTCTGTGTTAATGTCCAACTTAGGTGTTGAACAAAGCAAATGAAATGACGTATACCCTAGGGTTTAGGAACATATAACACATATAACATAACACATATAACATATAACATATAACAAACAATATTTCCCCACAGCCTTCGTTAATAACAGTATTACTTTTGGAGGATAATAACCCTAGTAAGCATACAATTTAATATTGTGTGTAAGCCTAAAAAGCAATTTAAGATTATTTTTCCTTAAATAACTTTTGCTCTTCTTCTTCACTTTTCATTGTCCTCTTCCAATCAATTCCCAACATAGTGGTAGACTGTAATGTCTTAAGATGGCCACCACATCTCCTAGCCTATATTCTTCTGAAACCTTCCTGCTGTATCTATTAAGATATGGAGCTTATGTCCCATTTTCTTGAAGAATCCCCAGGAAGATTCTCAGAATATCTGTGCCCAGTCTGTAGTCTCAGAGATTCTGTCAGAATTTATCTAGTATGTAGCCCAGACATCACAAGTTTTCAAATGCCTCCAAGTTATTGAAAACTTGCTGTAATGGTTTATATGGATCATAGGTCCATATAATCCTATGGGCTTTGCTGTAAGAGAGATAAAAGACATTGAAAGCTTCCAATGAGAAAATAGGCAAGATTAGTATTTTAACTAGTTCTCTGTAAATGCTGTAACTGTACCAACTTCTTTATCAAAGCAAAAGTTTACAAAGAAGGGAATAGAGCTGCACCCAAAATGTTAATAAAATTCTTAACAGATGATTGCCCTGGTATGTTCTGGAGAAGAGACTATATGGAGCAAGAACCAATTCAGATCACTTATCTCTATTTTTAACATTTTCCTTAATGAATCTGTATTAACAGAAATTTATTATTTAAAACATTAAAAAATACATTGAAATAATATATATTAATAACAAACAGCATTATATTCTACCACTCATCTATTCTTCCAGGTGTGGAAGAATAGATGTGTTAACAGAAATTTATTATTTAAAACATTAATAAATAGATTGAAAGAATATATATTAATGACAAACAGCATTATATTCTATCGCTCATCTATTCTTCCAGGTGAGTTTTCATGAAGGACAATGAATCGTATATTATTTTGCTAGGGCCACCATAGAAAACTATGTGATATTAGGTGGTTTAAAAAAGAAAATGCATGTTGTCTTACAGTTATGGAGGCTGAAGTCCCAAATTCAGGAATCAGCAGTGCCATGCTCCCTCTGAGACTTTGCGCAGAATCCTTCCTTGCCTCTTCCTAGTTTCTGGTGGTAGACAGCAGCCCTTCCCATTCCTCACTGGCAGCTGCATCAGTCCAGTCCATACTTCCTTCATCACACAGCTATATTCACACCACCTTCTCTGTGTCTTTGTTCAAATTTCTCTTTTATAAGGATGGCAATCATTGGACAATAGCCCACCCTAATCCCTTCATCTTGTCTTGGTTACATCTGCAAAGACCCTATTTCCAAATAAAGTCACATTCTGAGGTACAGGATGTTAGGACTTCAACATATCATTTTTAGGAAGACACAATTTAACTCAGAAAGGATTGATAGGTTCTCATAGCATCTTTAAAAACAGAATTGTTTTCATATGTCAACATCTTTTTGAGAGCAAAAATCTACAAAGAATAAAATAGAGCTATTCCCAAAAGGTTAATAAAATTCTCGAAGGATGACTGCCTTGAGAAGGACTATCTGTGGCATTATTCTTTTTAAATTCTCTCAATTTTCCTACTCCAGTGAGCATTTTCCAGAGGATGTATAAAACTCTCCAAAATGCCTTCGTTATTTTTGGTGACTTTCATTCACGGAACATGAATTTTCATGCTTCAGTGGGCTTGCATTTAGGCCTGGATCCTTTCACCTTTAGGGCCACATAAATCCTAACACAGGTTTATTGAAACTACAGAGAGTCCTCCATCCTTCAAACTGGTTTCACAAATTCCAGGAGAGTGGATTAGAATCTTAATTGTGAGGCCTGAGAGGGAATCGGCGTAAGCCCATAAACATGTTTAAAACATGTCTAACTTGCCAAACAACTTTATTTTTCCTACGAAGGCTTTTGTTTTCAGCACTAGAATGAAAATTCTTAGGCTGAAAGATTAACTTTATTGGATAGCTGACTTTCATTGAATGCTGGGTTTGAGAGCCAGTAAAACAAGCTTCATAAGAAAAATCCAAGCAACACATCATGCTTGGCCTCAAGGCATCCCACAGGCAAGGCAAATCCTTATCAAGAGGCGACTGGTGACCCAAGTAATCAAGTTGAGCTGAAATTAATGTGCGGATGCACGTGTTGTTCAAGGAACATGAACATCGTGTCATAGGACAGAGAGTGAAACAAGATGAAGAACAAACACCTACTTCTCAATATATTATCAAACATCATGTTTGGAATTACTCTAAAAGTACACACAGTGAAGTATAAACTGCATTTGACCCATCTATTATCTGGAGTTAAATATCTCTAATTCATTTATTTCCACTAATCAGCTGCTACACAATTTTCTCCGGCTTCTGCCATCTGCTTTTAATTACCAAAACAATTCACAATCCAAACTGAAATGATAAATAGTTAATCATCACAGGCTTTTACAGGTGCAGGTCAAAACTTAAAGAAATAAGCAGCTTTATTTCATTTCAAAGAGAGTCAAAACTTACATGAATTTAGAACATTGTCAAAGTTACCTCATTTCTTTGCCATTTTGAGAGTTCATAAACAAAATCCACTTGAAAAGTAATCTTTGCTAACAAGATTAACAAATAGTGTTATTTTGGGCAGGATGTTTGAAATTAAGTTTTAAAGACCCAGACTAACAGATTTCATGGAAGGAAGGAAGGCTATGAAGAAAAATAACTAACACTTCCCTCCGATAACAACAACAAAATCTTGGACAGCTGAAGTTAGATAGCATAACTGTTTCAACAACTAATAAATTAAGTTCACTTTCATATCAGATTAACATCAATTTTAGGGAAAAGAAAACCCAATTCTTAATTTTCCTTTTCAGACAAGAGAAATTAAGGTAAGAAAGAGAAATGAAATTAATATTGCAGAATACCCACTATGTATTTAGTATGTTACAAATTCAATCCTGTAAACAGCCCTGTACAGATTATTTCTCCCACTTTAAAGATAAGGAAACTGAGCCAAAGAGATAAATTTAAATTGAGAGTCAAACCCAGGGCAGTCTGTGATTGATGGGTACCTTCTACAGCTTGATTAACACATGATGAATAGCAAAAAAGTTGATAAGAGAAAGTTTCACTGTATTTCCTTTAAAGGACACTACTGGATTGACAAGTATTAGTGTTAAATAAAAAAGTTCATTTTCCATAGTACATGTCTCATCAAAGATAAAGTTCTGACCATTTTACACACATAGACACACGCATACCTACAAATATGGTCTGAAATATTTAAGACAATGATAAAGAAATGTTTTATTTTTAACTTTCGGCGTTTTACAATTTTAACAATGTGTTGAACTTTGCATGATTAAAGGTGGTGTTTTGAGGTTCCCGAAGAGAAGCAAAATGTCATACAAATTGTTAGACTTAATATTCTTAACCATAGTAAAAGATTTGTTATTTTATAATTGTTATGGAATTGTGTACATCTTACAAAAGAAAGCGTTGGTTCTTTTATTTTTTATTTGTGTTAATTTTTTAGTTCAATTTTTATTTCAGATTCAAAGGGTACATGTGCAGGTTTGTATATTGTATGACACTGAAGTTTGGGGTTTGAATGGTCCCATCACCCAGATAGTGAAAGCATAGTACTTCATAGGTTGTTTTTCAGCCTTTGCCACCCTCTTTCCCTTCCCTGTTTTGCAGCCTATATTATTCTCTAGCCTATATAGTTCTCTAGAGGGACAGAACTAATAAAAGGGGAGTTTATTAAATATTAGCTTATATGATCACAAAGTCCCACAATAGGCTGCCTGCGAGCTGAGGGCCAAGGAGAGCCAGTCCAAGTCCCAAAACTAAAGAACTCAGAGTCTGATGTTCGAGGACAGGAAGCATCCAGCATGGGAGAAAGATGTAGGCTGGGAGGATAGGTCAGTCTCTCTTTTTCACATTTTTCTGCCTGCTTTATATTTGATAACAGCTGATTAAATTGTGCTCACCAGATTAAGGGTGTATCTACCTTCCCCAGCCCACTGACTCAAATGTTAATCTCTTTTGGCAACACCCTCACAGACACACCCAGGATCAATACTTTGCATCCTTCAATCCAATCAAGTTGACACTCAGTATTAACCATCACACTGTCCTTAGTGACCACTGTTCCCATCTTTGTGTCCACATGTACCCCACATGCACCCCGTGTTTAGCTCCCACTTATAAGTGAGAACATGGGATATTTGGTTATCTGTTCCTGTGTTAATTTGCTTAGGATAATGGCCTCCAGTTGGATTCATCCTGTAGCAAAGGACATGATCTTGTTTTTTATGACTGCCTAGCATACTATGGTGTATATATATCACATTTTCTTTATCCAGTCCACCTTTTATAGGCATCTAGGCTGATTCCATGCCTTTGCTATGGTGAACAGTGCTGCTATGAACATACAAGTGCATGTGTCTTTTTGGTAGAATAATTTATTTTCTATTGGGTATTTACCCAGTAATGGGATTGTTAGGTCAAACGATAGTTCTGTTTTAAGTTCTTTGAGAAATCTCCAAACTACTTTCCACAGTGGCTGAACTAATTTACATTCCCAACAGTGTATAAGCATTGCATTTTCTCTACAGCCTTGCCAGCATTTGTTATTTTTTGCCTTTTTAGTAATAGCTGTTCTAACTTGTGTGAGATGATATCATATGAGATATGAGGTTTCGATTTGCATTTCTCTGATATTATTGATGTTGAACATTTTTTAATGTTTGTGGTCACCTGTGTGTCACCTTTTGAGAGGCGTCTGTTTATATTATTTGACCATTTTTAATAAGGTTATTAGATTTTTACTTAAGTTCCTTATAGATTTTGAGTATTTGACCTTTTTCAGATGCATAGTTTGTAAATATTTTCTCCCATTCTATGAGTTGTCTGTTTTCTCTGTTGTTAGTTTATTTTGCTGTGTAGAAGCTTTTTCATTTAATTTGATCCCACTTATAAATTTTAATTTTTGTTGCAATTGCTTTTGAGGACTTAGTCATAAAATCTTAGCCAAGACCAATGTTCATAATGATATTTCCTGGTTTTCTTCTGGGGTTTTTATAGCTTGAGGTTTCGGATATAAATCTTTAATTCATTTTGACTTTTTGTATATAGTGAAATGTAGCGTTTCAGTTTTATTCTTCTGTATATAGCTATCCAGTTATCTCAGTATTATTGAATGGTGAGTTTTTATATTTTTATATCTGCTTAGATCCAGTGCTTCTCAAGCATAGTACATGGAGCACTCATATTGGAAAAATGTTGAGTATTCCCAAATTCAGATTCTCAGGCATGACCCCAGGAATTCATGTTTTCAACAAGCTCAAGGTAATATAGTAGCTGCATTGCATGGTCTCTGAATATTAATTTTGTAAGTGTCAAAATGCTGACTTCTCAAAACATCAGCAAAACAGCCCATTGATAATACAAACTGGGTTAACGGTTGGCTCTGCAGTAAGAGAGAACTGACTCCAACAAATTATTACTAGTTGTCAGAGCCAAAGTTGGGAAAATTGGGATTATAACATTAGGTTTAAGGTGAGTCTTACAATGTAAATGCTTCATTAAGACTGAGTAAGCATCATTATATAATGGTTTAGGATTGGTGGGCATTGCAAGATTGAAATACTGATGAGGCAAGAGGGTAAGAGTCTTATAGTGAAAGCTGTCCACTGATGCTTTCTACTGAAAGCTTGATAATTCTTTCAGGAAATTCCTGAAATGAACAATAGAGATATTTACATCTTTCTTTTAGCTGATTGCTATGAACAAAATGAATAAATTTGGAATTTTGGAAGTAAAGCCTATAACAATAAAGAGTTTTAGTTACCTGATGGAACTGTAAAACACCTATGATAATATTGGTCTTTGAGAAGGTTGCAAATTGCAGATGGTCAATGTACCATCTCAAGGTAAAATTCCTCTCTGACAAAGCCAATGAGAGGTCTTAGTGTTTTCAGTTGACCCTTCTCAATTCTGCAACACAAGACAGGAAAGGCAGAAGAGGTTTCACCCAGGTTCTCAAAGAAAAATTTAAATATGGCTGGTTTTTATATTAAGAGGAAAAGCTGTATATTAAATTAAATATTTGTGTAGTTCCTTCTTTTCATCCATTTAAGAAAAGCGAAACTTCATATTTCTGGGCTCCATGACTACTAAGGATACATTTTTGGAGAATGCAAAAGAAAAATAAATAGAACTGAGAGAAAATGGGAGGCAAAGAATGTTTAAGTGAAGAGGAAAGTAGGGAACAGAAGGTGAAAGACACTGAAGAAAAGGAAAGGAGAGAACAAAGAGCTATAACAGATGCCATATAAGCAAAGTGCTTGCAGAAAGAGCAAGAATGCTTAAAGTTATATACTTTAGAAAGATTTTTATGTGAAGTCTAATAAAATCTTTTCCTCAGTCTCCCTGTAACATAATCAGTAAAAGTCCTTACTTGTAAATGCATTGTTACAAACCTCCACCAATGACCACATGTCAGTAGTTTTTCTATTTTAAGTAGCCTATCAGGGATTAGTTGGCCACACATAACAGCTGACAGTGACATCAGCGGTTGCAGCTTAGCAAGTCATGTTCAGCCATCATGCAGAGATGTTCCTACAGGAAAGCCAAAAAGCCCCTCAATATTCTAAGTATCAGGTGGAACACTATGAAACCAGTCTTTTCTGGAGGTGATGTGAAAGGGTTTGGTGATTTGAGATAGAATTTCTATGTACTTGAGGAGGATACACTCTTCTTTCTAATACATACCTTTAACAAGTACCTGTGAAATAATCCAGAAAAGAACAAAACAATCCTTCCTCAGTCTGACTCCACTTTACATGGTACATGCCCATTACAGGAGTTTATTAAGAAATTGTTCCTTAAAAATGTAATTGGGAGGCTATTAGGCTGAGAGAGATCCAGTAGTACCTTTGATTCCTACATAAGCAAACGGAAGCCAAATGTAAATAGTAAAACAAAATTTAAGCTAAAGCAACCAGAAACTTCCAGCTAACTTCTAACTAGGGACTTTCCACCAGATCATACCCAAATAAAGTAAGCATCTAGCTGTAGCCAATCTAGCCAATTTCTTTCCTTGATTTCCCCATTCAGCTATAAAAGCTCACTGCCCATGCTGCTGGAGTGGAGCTCTCTGAACCTCTTCTAGTTTAGGCAACTGCCCCACTCATGAATTCTTTAATACCCAGATAAACTCTGTTGAACTTATTTTGTCTAAAGCTATTCTTTTAACAAAACCAAAACACCAGGAAACAGGGAAAGGAAAGAGAAGGACAAATGACCATTCATTGCCTGGTATCATTCTTGTTAAAAAAAATCTGGACATGTCCCCTCTAGAATGAATTGGTGTTTCTTGGTTGAAAACACATTTGATCAAATAGCTGGAGGCAGGCAGTTTGGAGCTATGATAGGACTCTGACATTTACTGAGTCTGCCAACAACTTGAATAAGGCCTTGGAATTCACTGACCTTGAGTCCCTTGGAGTCCCTGAATTTGTCAGGGTCTTAAGGTCTCTCATATACACTTTACCCTCAAATTTGGATTATGTGACATCAAAGTTAACCATCTCATGTATTGGCCTCAGAGAGTATAACCAAGGGAAGGGTAAACCAGTGAAGATATTACAGTCAGAGAGGTCTTCATGACTCAAGAATAAAATGAAGCAATTTTATTTGTTTAGTAAAGAGAAGGGAGATAGCTGTTTCCTCAATCTCCTCTCCTAAGGGTATCTCCTCAAATGTATTATAAGTCTAAGAAGAGGTCCAATCTTTTGATTATACAAGGCAAATTCACAGATTTTCTGACCCTTGGAACTGTAAACACATTGTTCCAAAATAATCGCTGGAATCTTTCAGGAAGTATACAGAAAACAATCGGAAGGTATATCCATTTATTTCTTGACCAGATAGGAGAATTGAATTGTTTTTTTCTTCTACTTTACTATATAAGTCTGTGTGAAATTCTGTCCAGTCTTTGCAGTAATTTTCATGTAACCTTCAATGCAAATAAACCTGTTAATAGGTTTTTGATAATAAATTATCCCTTTCTTCTACACTGGTAATGAGGGGACTTCTATGGACAGGATTGTTTTATTTCTTCAATAATGACAACTAGGAAATAGTAATATGTGTACCTATGAGGCAAAAAAGATAAATTGTTGAGTTATATATGCTACATTATATATGTTATTTTAGTGATCTTTTAAATCTCTTCTGTCCATAGTTTAGGGGATAGAGATATTTCACTTATATTTATGGACATGTGAACTGCCCTAGGAGCATTCAATAGTTTTTTTCTTTCTTTCTTTCTTTTTTTTTTTTTTTTTGAGTTGGAGTTTTGCTCTTTTGCCCAGGCTGGTGTGCAGCGGGATGAGGTTTGGATTAGCAGCGTTTACTGTGAACAGTCATGAAAGAAGAAACAGTCCTTTCACAGAGAGCAGAACCTTAGTGTCAGAGGAGAACTTAACTATCAAATCTCCGTGACATATTTTAATCTCTTCCGATATATCCTGGGTTTTTCCTCACCCTTGTATCCAATCAACCAGACCTGAGTATTCACACACCCAAAATCTCTTTCAAATCCTTCTGCTGGTCTCCATTCACACAGACACTACCTCAGACCATGCAGTCATACTCTTTCCCTTAACAAGTTATATTATCTCCAATTTTGCTGCCTCTCAAAACACCTTTTCACACATTTATAAGCCATATTGCTAAAACACCAGTGCTCTGTTTAAAACATGATCTACAAGAACCTTCTTCATCCAGCCCCTGATCACTCTATCAGCTTCATTTCTCAAGACTCCAGAATTCTTTCTCCAGCTCTTAAATTTATGATCCTGCCATACTGAATTGTTTGGTGTTATTTAAACAACCTAACTCCGGCCCCTGGAATTATCAACAGGCTATTTTCTTGGTCTAGACAGTTCACACCCATCTCTTCTTCTTTCTCCCAAATAGCCACTACTTTCTTCTCTTCATTTAGGACTCAACTAGGATGGATCATCTCCTTCTGAATTTCTTGCCTGACCATTCCACAGCACACCCAATTTTCCCTAGAGCACTTTACTTTGACCTAGTTTAAGATTTATCACACTAT